AACAATACATCAAATGACATAAGTGTATGCTCATGCCAAATATTTGCGAATGGAGCGTTTTGCAAATGCAACATTGTGTGCTGCCATAAGCTATGATTTACAGCGATCAACTTGTGTACGCATTTGTTGACACAGAAATTTAAATGACGCTCTTGTCATCAGCGACGATGTTTCATTCTCGTCCATTTTTCTTGTGTTCCTTCTAACTTGGTTACAGCCAAACCAAAAGGAACGGAATCATTGTCGGTGTTTATATGCAACGAAAAGAGACATCAGAACACAAATTGAACGCGATTGCAATAAATCGTTAAGGGTTAAAAACGCGATATAAAGTAGTTTGAAATGTGTAAACATCAAGCTCTCACACTCATATACAAAATCATTTCGATTCGTTTGCAACGATTTCAATGCTGGTGAATGATGTGACGACAACGTTCAATATTAAATCGATACACGACGGTGTGCACAAGTTTCAAAACGAAATTAAATCGAATCGAACGAGAGAAAGAGCTGATAGAGCATACAGTACACTGTGTATCGCCTACGTTCATCATAAATTCATAAGCGGAAATATGTTTTGAAGTTATCATTTCCGTGACACTCATCCAGGTACAGGTATATTGCAGGTCGTCCGCTTTCATTATTCGATGTATATTTTGAATTGGGATTTACAGTGTGCTCGACACTCGTATGCTCAAGATCCAGCGGAGCTGGTAATTTTATTATTGTTTCGATACAATAGAGACGTGTCTCAGCCGTCAGGTATAAGCGTAATCGGTTTAAAAGCCACGCCGACTTTTAGCCCATGGAAAAATTCACCGTTAATTAGGAGAGGTGTTTTAGAATCGCCGCTACAGAACTAACAGCATTTGTGAAGAAGAAATACCGTTGCGACCGTATAGAGAGAGAGAGAGAGAGAAAGACAGAGAGGGAGAGAGAGATAGAGTGTGTGTGTTTGCACAGATTATTATCATCATCAAGTGTACTCAGTGAATGTCAAGCGAACGACGAATATCTACGTCAGAGCGTCCCCCTGAGTGCAAATATCACATCGCGTAAACGCAAATAAAATCAATGGCAAAATATACAGCGTGAAAATGTGTCGTTTGCCCCGACAACGACAAAGCGATTCATGCGGAACCGTGCGCCGACGAAAATGAAAGGCGTATAAATCATTTTTGTTTTGTGCCATTCACTCCTTCTAAATGATGCAATAACTGGAAAATTGTGTTAAAGCAGATCAATTGTCATTTGATATGAGAAGTATTTCGTGTGTGCGCCTCAAGCCATGAAACAACACATTGGAGGTGGGTAAGAAGTGGCAAAGACGACGACGACGATTGTGGCTGTTGAAGCAAGAGCTTTGAAAAAGCGAAAAGGACAATGTGTAAGGCGAACGTCGCACGCTCCATTATTATTGAATCAATATAAATATGCGTGTATTCAACTCAAATTGTTGTATTACGTTGTTGCCCTCCTCCCCGCCGTTAAGATAGCATTTTCATTGTCACGCACCGTACATTTCGGCTGTCATGTATTATCCCAGGCCTTAAGTTGATTTCTTCCGACACTTCTTCTTTTCTTTCTTTCTTTTTCTTTCTTTTTCGTTCGTAGGTTCGATCCTCTCTTCATTCTCTAACAAGCTCCAAAATGATCCAATCGAGACTCAAACACATTGACGTAACTGAGAAGAAGAGGCAGGCGAACAAAAAAAAATTAAATTCTATTATATGTCTATTTTACCGTAAAACGAACGAAGACGTTATACGATGGAATTCCGTATTGATGTGAATTTTCCACACCGACGGCTCTATCGATTCATATTAATGTACACATGAATTTTCCAAAAACAAAATTCATGGCAAATCTGAAAGCTTTCTCTCTCTCACTCTCTATCGGTTAATTTATATGCGTACCGTTGCGCACATCAAAAAACAAATATACGCAAAGAAGGAAATCTACGCGGCTCTGTGTGTTAAAACACATGTTAAAACACACAGCAAATAACAAGACAATGAGGCAATGTGTGCTAGAAAAAAAACAGAGGTCAGAGAATGAGACAATCAATAACAACAAAATAAGTATAAAAGACAATAGGCACGGTCACAGCAGCTGCCAACAATCCCACTGAAGCGAATATACATGTGTGTGTTTTTGAATGACATTAACGGCGATGACGGCGACGGTGGAAATCAGTAAATAAGCGACATAAAAAATTTAAACGACCAACTAACTAAAGGAAAAAGCCAAATGATTCATCCATTTTTTTCGTTAGATGTTTCTTGGCCTCCCTTCCGCACCCTCTTTTTCTCTGCGTCGTTCTTTTTGCTTTGCACCAAATCACTTTGATTGATTTTTCGATTAAAAATGAAAATCAAAGACAGACTGTTTGGCTTCACCCCAAATATTTGTCGCTTGATAAAAAGTCAGAAACATTCAAATCGTATGCTCTACAGTTCAATGACTCATTTAAATGCGGTACCGTCGTTTCGATGTTGACATTTTATGGAAACTCGATCTTTCCATCACTCGTTCGCTCGCTCGCTCACTGTCGCTTGCCCCACACCCTTGTTCATTTTTTTTCCTGCTTTACTCTATAGTTCTAGAAACCAAATGACAGCTGCGTAAACAAAATGTATGCGATGATTGCAAGGCAATCAGTAGTGCTTGTTTAACAAAATCATGACCGCATACTTTTTGGCTTGGACTCAAAATGATTAAAAAAAAAGCAACGCACAGAGAAAAAAGAGAGAAAAAAATCCAATTATAATTTTGAGTTCTTGATAAACGTCTCGTATTGCCTTGTTACCGACACATCGTTACCGCTCCTCTGTACACCTGACATTTCTTTTCTATCCCATGTCAGTTTGAATATTTAATGCTCTTTTATGTTATCGATTACTGGCAGCAGAGACGTGGTATCCGTTTAAAGATTTTGAAGCCGACCAACAGCATCGAAAAGCTTAACTTCAATAGACGGGAGAACTTCTTTGGCTTTTTTCCTCTTTCTTTCTTTCTTTCTCTCTTTTTTTCATTCGTTCCCTTTTTCTCTCTTTCACGTCTTTTCGGTTCGCAGAACCTTTTCGAAAGTTGCCTTTCTATTTCTTTAAGTTTGTTCTTTTCCTTTCGTTTTCGAATCGTTGAATATTAAAACATTCATAGTCAAACAAACGACGTCGAACTCTTTCGTTCAGTACACAAAAAATAACTGTAACACACACTCCAAATGTGTGATACAAAGGGACTGATGTTGCATGAATTATAAATGATTTTTGATATCGTCGAAGATAAATAGAGACACAGCGAGCAAAAGAGTGAGCGAATGAGTGACGTATTTGTACGGAACCAACATTGAATGGATTAATGACCAAGTTCACAACATACAACCTTATCCAAAAGCATATAAAGCCTTCTTGCTGTATGTCATGTTATGCTGAATTGATTGCACGGCTCTCGCACGAAAATAAACAATATCTCATTTGCTATCGCTCTCTCTCTCTCTCTCTCTCTCTCTCTCTCTCTCTCTCTCTCGTTTGCCCTTTATTTTGGTTGGCTGAATGGCGTTATCATCAGGTTCTAAGAATAAGTGAACGCACGAAAGTTCCCCCCCCTCAAACTAACGTAATTACATCGATACAGAAAAAGAAAAAAATCCCTCAAAGCGGAAAACGGCCAACTTTCTGTTGCGCCAGTGCTCATACTCTCGCTCACTTGCTCGTTTATTTATTAATCAATGGAAGTGAACAGTACGTCAGTAACATTTAACATCTAATTGAACATATTACCAAATGATATATCAACAAGCTTATTATACCGACCAGCCACGGGACAATAAGAGACATGGTGTTGTCTTTAATTAATTCTTTTCGCTCATTTTCTGTTCGATTGATTTCGTTTTGCTTGTGCGAACTTTTAATTGGCGTTGTGCTTTGTTGTTGAGTCGCAAGCTGAAGCCAAAGTCAAGCGTGTGCATTGCTGCTTTCTGCTGATGTATTGTTTTCCTTTTTATTGCTCCATTATTGTTTTCGTTTTTCTCGCACATACACTGTGTGTCACATAGTCTGGTGGTTTTACAAAAACGCCGAGTGTAAACACAAATGGACACAAAACATACGAATGGGAAAACTAAAATAAATCTCATCGATAAATCATTGTGAATAATGAATATTTTCGTGTTGTCTGTGACACATCTCGAGATTCTCCATTCAGATAATCCACTCTCTCAAATGCACACGAAAAATCCATTTTCTCAGCGAGCGCGCAGTTATTGCAGCGAGTCCTTTTTGGTTGAGCAGACACTTCATTTGCCTATGATGGTTCATTTAATTGTTGTTGTTGTTATTTTTGTTACTCTATCTGTACGGTCGCTCCATTTTTATGCCACGATTTATTATGCAGAATTAGATTTATTTTTCATTATGCCAAGTACGGCCAATGTCTGTTTTGCTCGTCCCGCACTTGCAATCATTATTAGTATCTCGTGTGCTGCTGCTGCAAGTGGTAACACGATGTCGAAGGCGCTTCGCATAAGTACGTGTCGTGTATGATAGATAATATTACAAAAATAACGAATGCTTTGATTTAGTGACGCGATAGCGTAGTAAATTCGCCATGAATTCAGTCTGACATCTAGTCCAATTTGAGCAAGCGATGTACCATCCGATTATTATGAGTACCTCTCTCTTTTTCGGTCAGTACGTGAGTTCGCGAAAAATTGCTTTTTTTTCGTTGTGAATGTGCGCGAACGCAAAGAAAACGTTCGAGCGATCACGCGATTATGAAATTCAATTTGAACCGAAAAAACAAATAATACGCTTCATTTTGAAGTCATTTTTCCTCGTTATTCCATCGCAACAAAAAAAATGCATTAATGTCTTGCTAGGGATGAAGTCAATAGGCAATAGAAATACTATGTTTCGATTTTCGCATTTTGAGAGTCGAAAAAAAACGATTTCGATAAAAATAGAAACTGATTTTTTTATTTTCTTTGTTCGTTACAGACAAAAACAGTCAGCGTCCACCGCGAAAAGCGTACGGTCGTCTCAGCGTTGATTCCGATGAAAATTGTAATCGAACGACAAATTCTTCGAACCGCCCGAAGTACAATAATCCATTCGATGAGTTAGACAATTTCGATATTCTCGACGATTCGGCCAAATGTTCGCCCAATGACAATTGCAATTCCAATTCAGCCACACAGGAACGAAACGACAATGACTCGGACATTGAATTGGACTCAGCATCGTCGAAAAGCAATAGCAACGAACGTCACGAGAGCACAATTAACCGATTACAGGCTATGGTCATAAGCGACGACGACGATTATGGTAAATTAAAATCATGCCACTCTCTTTCTCCTTCTCTCTATACATATCCATCGCTGCTACGTTCTATGCCCCGGTTCTGGCTACATTTAGACCATCCATTCCGACTGAAAATAGCAGACCTGACAGAAATTTCTTCCAAGGAACCCAACCACCAATAATATTAAAACGATGAACAAAGCGCATCGGACAACATCGTGTGTGTGTGTTTGCTGAATGAACGTTATGCTCATATGAATACGAATTTGGTGCAGTCTTTCTGCTCTTTACTTGTCAAAAAATTGTTCCCAATTTAAATATCCATCTCATACGAAATGCAGGAGCTCATTCATTTTCTTCCTCTCGTTCTCTTTCTCCTTCTTTTCCTCCACGTAGAGCTTTATTTATGTAGCCCCATGCCATCGTAATTTTGGGATATGCAAAAGGGCATATGATAGGAAAAAATGGGGGGGGGGGGTCCAACGAAGAAAAAACCACACCAAAATGAAATGCAAAAGTGCTTATGAGAGCACCCGAATTAGTTTATAACTCGATCTCTTCTCTTCGTATAATGTGATATTTGCATATCTCTTGTGAATAATTAACACGCCGGATTGTTTCTCTTGCAAATAGATTTTTGCTGTATTATTATATGTTTGCGCTTGCATTTCGTTTATTCAGCGCTTTCTCTCCTCTCTCCCATTCTCTCGCTCCGGTTTCGTTTTAAAGCATTTAATATGACTTTTTACATCCTCGTTAATTTATTTAGTTCTTTTCTTGTCGGTTGGTTTGTTTTTTCTTCATTTCTTCATCTTTGGTTTTGTGACGATATTTCGCTTTATATTGGCGTCTCAGGCAAGAGCAGAATTGATGTTGGAATTCATTTGTTATCCCCTCAAATATGTTGCGAATCCGACAAAAGAAAAAAGGTACCAGAAAACGCTGTGTGTTGTCACTGTTTTATATTTATTTTTTTCTGCTGTTTTGTCTCTCGCCACTTTCGTTGATGGGTTTTACAAGTATTCAGAAGCAATTCGTGTACTTGTTTCTTACTTTTCATTTCTCTAGTATTTTCTTTATTTTTATTATGATTCCTCTTATTTTTTTTGTTCAACTATTGTCACTTGTTTTCGATGCAGTGCATTTTATTCTTTTTTTCTTCTTCATTTTCGCTTAAACCTTGTCATGGCTTAGAATGCACCATTCAACTTAAGCAAAGTGATGTTGATGGCAACGCTTCACATTCGAGTATACACACATACACAGATACATGCACTCCAAATGCACGCCATCCATCCATTCAGTAAAACATACACACCAATCACGTTTTACATATTTATCTGCAGCCAGTAAATTCTATTCACTGACATATCCACTTTTCAATGCTTGCAAATTTTTAATTTTTCTTCCGTTTGAACTTTCTGTCTCTGTCTCTGTCTCTGTCTCTGTCTTTCACTCCATCTCTTTCGTTCCACACACAAGACAGAGAACGGGTGTCTGTATGTGTGTTTACATACAGTTTCTCAAAGCAAATTTGAGAAAAAAAAGAATGTACAAATTTCACATGGGAAACTTTTTATTTTGCTGTCAACAAAAGATGACATCGAAAATTGCAGCAAAAAATTTGTTCGCTTTCTGTTCGTCGTATATTTTTCCTCTCCACATCGTGTTCACATGTGAAGTTTATTTTTTCTTTCTCTCTTTCCCTTTTCCCCACAGATGAGTCGTTGACGTGTAACGTATGTGATAGGTGAGTTTGTGCAATAGCTATCCAATATTTTTTTTATTCGTGGTTGTTTCTATTTTATACTACGTTTTTATATTTCATGTGTAATTTTCGATGTAATTTGTGCGACAGGGCGTTCCATTGTCACCGACAACTCGCATCGCATCAGCAGAAGAAACGACATTTCGGGTAGGTTTTTCAACTCTATCTCTCACACTTGAATTGTTCAGTTTAACAAGTCGTTTTATCATTTCTGGGGGGTTTTATGAAGCTCACTCTAGTCACAATAAAATTTTGTGGAAGCTCATAATTTGGAATGCAGTAAATGTGTCACACACACACATGTACACTCCATTATGTATATCGGGAGATGTTTTTTTTTCTGCTGCCGTCGTTATTGATGATTTTGTTGTTATTGCATGATTTCATTGCAGTTGCAGCGGATGTGACACATTATTTCCAAGTCTTATGCTTTTAGAGCATCACAAAGAGGAATTTGAACATTGGAGCGATGAAGATGATGACGATAGACTGCCTCCGTGCTGTCGACGAAATCGAGACGAATACACTGACACTGATTCATTCACAAGCGAAGCCGAAAGCGAAGATCTCGAACGGCTATTGTAAGTCAGGGCATACGCAAATGCATTTACAGAGCTCAAAAACATATCCATTCGATCCAGCATCAATTGCAATTGTTGTACATAAGATGAAGGAAAAAAAATAGACGTACTGGATGAAATTCAGTAACAACTACAACCAGCCATGCAGCACAACAAATACAAACATATTGAAAGAGCAGCGCTCGCGCACATCAAAGTCAACATGTGTGTTCGGAGTTGTCCCGGCAAAAGATTTTAATTTTCGATGGTTCGTTTATAGCGAACGGTTCGTTTATATTTGCATGTAAACATGTTTACACATTATTTGTATGACAATCTTTTAATTTAGGTAATCCTGATTTTGACATTTCTCTCAATAGAGCGTGCGCATGAGTGAAAATGAATTTTATATTTGCAAATGCATAGTGAATAGAACGGTAACAAGAAAATGAAGAGAAGAAACTAGTTTTTATTTTTCTACCCGACACACTCTTACACACACATACACACATATATGACCACAATATTCAACGAAGAACGCCATGCAAATGAATTGAGAAAATCAACTGCTAAACATTCCAATGCACATGAATTCCAAACAAAAAGGAAAGAGCCAATCAAAATTTATACAATCATCGACTTGTCCAGATTACATGTGACAAAACGATGATGACGAATATGGAGGAACGATGATAACTTTCGAGAAGTAAAACAAGAAATTAAGAAAAAATCGATGCGAAATTGATAGGATTAACCTTTTGATGGGTAGGTGGATACAGTGACGGATGAAAGCAAGAAAAATACATTATGTAGAACATTTAATGTCTCTTTTTTCAATGTAGCATTAAATTGCACGAATTTAAATGTAATACATAACAACATAACTTAGAGCTAAAAAAAACGCCTAATGTTCTCATTACTAGACGAAACTCAAGCCGATTTCGACTACCGATTTGAAAAAGGAAAAAAAACTGATACCAACATGCATATCTGTGTAATTTTACTTTCAATGAACCCGTTTTTCTTTTGTTTTCCAGAAATTTTTTAGAAAAAGAGAACAAAAACACATAGCCCTGTTAACAATGTTAGTGCAAAGAAACCCATAACAATTTAGTCTAAGGCAAATCAATTTCAAATCGCAAGGAAAAAGTAAAACCAAATGTTTATGTGCAGCATCAATAACTAGATTTCCAGCGATGATGACTAATGACAGCATTCTCAGTTGATAGTGTCATCTTCAATTTAGTTTTTCTTCTTTCCAAATTGACATTGATTTTAAATCTCGTAACATCAATAGAATAACTTGATGAAGAAAAAAAAACAGTTCTAGTTACCATGTGAACAGTTCATTCCAATAGAAATGAATTGCAACAAATATTTGATTACATGCATTTTACATCATATTTGATGAAGCAGATGAAAAACAAAACAACCGTTTGCAAGTAGCGATTTTTTTTCTATACAAAATAAGATTCTTCGAGGACACGTCTTGTGTTATATGAATTTCCATTTGCAAATGTAATTTCAACTGTGTATAGTATAATTGCAAACGACACATTGTCCAATGGCGAATGCGGGAAAATCTGAAGAGCAAGAATAAGAAGAAGCAAATAATAATATCTGAAAGCGTGCTCAGCGATTTTAAGATAGAAAAAAAAATGTGTGTGGTAAAGAAAAGAGCGAATCAGCGAGAATCACACGGACTGCGACGACGACGACGACGAAGAATAAAAGTAAGAAAGCAAAAAAGCGCTAGCATATAAAAAAAAGCATGAATACTGTAATGATATTATTTTAAATCCGATTAACTGATTTATCGTCTGAGAATGTTGTTATTTATAAAAGTGAAGAATATAACTTAAACAGAACAAATAAAGAACCTAAGACAAAATTGCAACATTGTACTACTGTATTTATCAGAGAAAAACCAAATTATGTGTGACTTAAAGAATAATAAACAAAACCAAATATATTTATTGTATAAAAATCAGAAACGGGTTTCTATTTCTCTCTCTCTTTTCTTGTCCCATTGCATGTGGATTTGTAACATATTCGCCTTCATTTTTCATATTTTCACGGTGTATCGTAATTTTAATAGGATTTCCAGTTTTGGAATTTGACGAAAGGATTACGACAAAAATGACATTCGAATGGAATTGACGGTGTTCAGAGCCGTAGCATGAACGAGTGGCTCAAACACACTGAAAATGGAGATTTGTCGACGACAATGAGCAATTAAATTTTCGACAATGCAGCTTCGACGGATTTATGCCATGCAAATTAGGAAAATGTTTTCAAATAGTTGCAAATCATGCAACGGATATGCTGCTGAAACGGCTCATGTATGAGAGAGAGAGAGAAAGCGAGAGAGAAACAGCGGAGAAGAGAACAAGAGGCGTTATTACACATCAACATATATCCGTATGTATTATTCAAGTCAGAGAATGAGTGAATTGATCGAAATGGCGTTTGGCACACGATACAGCAGGGTTTATGTCGCTTACAGGATATTAAATCGTGAATCTCGACATTCTCACATCAATTATGGAATAGTTTTCGATACGTCTGTGATATTAATTTATTTTATAACCCAATCACACTGGGGTTTTTTTTCTCACTCGTCTGGTTAGTCCGTGTTGAAGGAATCGAATCGGTTGTATATTTTCCATATGCATAAACATACATACATGCACACATATAACTTTCGCCCTGGTATATACACGTACGACGTAGTTTTAGTTAGTTCAGGTTTTTTCTTACGATTTTCGATCTGGATTGCACATGCACAAGTGCTCCATATGGACGTAATAAAATAAAGCTACGACTATGACTACACAACATACTACTGGGTTGGTGGTAATATAACATTCATTGGGGAAAATGGTATGGAAATCAATATACAAAGTATACGCATTTGAATTGATATTCTCCATTTCACATATTTGTAAGTCAACAAGCTTAAATAAAGCACAATTCAATGTTCAGGACCCTCTCTCTCTCTCCCGTTTGCTTGTTCACATCAAATTTCTTTTCATTATTACTTTTTGTTGCGCTCTCCAGCTCACACACGCTCTCTCCTTCTCACTTTCCATTCGCCTGGTGTATTATTCATTTCTATTCCCTACTGGCAATTTATTCTAATATAATATAATAATAAAACAAGCCATTACAATACGGTATTGCTTTTCTAACTGAATATCCACGTACTTGACGGCAGAAAATGTTCAACGCCACACTATATTCGTTCGTTCGATCCATATATATATATATATATATATAATTCGTTCGTTCAATTGAATGCGGTCGCGGTCGTTCGGTCGATTGGAGCTTGACTATTACGGGAGGCATAACGTAATTCAAATGGATTCGATTTATTGAATGTCATCCGAAAATGAATGAACTTTCATTTATCGATGAGATGTAAAAATGCTTTCGTTCATTCATTCTCTATTCATTCTGTGCAATGCAACAATGTAGAACAATATAATTTTGTTCTTGGACAAGTGTTAGTAAGGTGAGTAAGCTGAACTCAATCTGAATTCAGTTTGTCTCTTGGTAACATGTGCTCCATTCTTTCTCATCAACAAAGATAATATCTGAAAGCGATATCTCTTAAATACAATGCGCATGTTCATGTAGCAAATATTCATTACATTTTCAAAAGTGACGAGGACGAGTAACGAACAATGAAGAGAAAAAGAGCCGAATTTTATTGATTTTCTCACACTGACAAACCAAATGAAATAACAAAAAAAAAAACAACTCGTCAATTGTAATTTTTTTTTCTATGGCGAGGGAATCCATTTGATAAATTTAATTAATTGAGCACAAAATCATACTTGGGTTGACTGAGAGACGAAAGTACGCGTGCGATTGAGAGACGAAAGTACAGAGAATTTTATCCGGTGCGATAAAAACGTTTTCAATGTCAACACTGAAACAATGGCAAATTGAACGAATCCCTTGTAAAGCTGGGACATGTCAATTATTACGTGAATTCCCATTTTTATTGAAGATATTTATCATTGGTTCAGTAGCGTATTTAAAGTGGGCAATTTTTATTCTGCCCCCCATTCCATTGATGTTTCTATTCATCAGCAGCTTTCAAGCTGTTTCTTCTTTTTTTTTTGCTTTCACCTGCGTAACTGAACCAATAAAACAGAGTATTTTTAGTCTATTCATCAGTTCGTTTAAAATATATGTCATTTTTTTTGCGCTCGTGCGTGTGTTTGAATTGCAATTATAAATGAGATTTGAATCGACCCTGTCATCGCCAGAATTTGCGCGCAGTTTGGTTGAAAATTAATTTGAAAATGTATTGGCAGCGTCGCTTGAGTCATTTATCAATTTCGCTATTGTCTCATTTAGAACGATCGACAAATTCATGCACATCACACTGTACACAAAATCAAAGTGACATTTGATAAAAATTTATTCTAGGACAACATACAGACTTTCTATGTCTCTGGCCATCTATCGCTTATTCCATTTTTCATAAAATATACGCGCTTACCATTTTCGATATTGAGTCGTTCACCGTTCGCGTTTCAAGTTGATTTTGATTACTTAATTGCAGGAGGAATTTTCTTCTACGATAGACTCAACGTAGGAAATATTGACACAACATCACGAACACCGTATTTTTTTTTCATTTTACGTGCTAACTCAGTGCTTTCTCACCGGCGTTCACTTTATATCAAAATATTCCATCACCAAACGATTTCCATATCATTTTAATTTTTTCTCTCTCCCTTGTTCTGTCTCGCTTTTTTCCTTGTTGTTTTACTCGTAATGAAACAATATAATTTATGTTAATCTAACTTAATTAAACATTGATACTATATGAAGCGCCGGATACTCAATTTCTTCTACCATTCTGTCTTGAGCTGACAAACAACACAAGACACAACAGGAGAAATGAATGTTTTGATCCAATTTGTGACGCGCCATTGCGGAATCCACGGTTAATTGTATGCCTTGCAGCACATATGTGTTTTATTATGGAAAATCAAAACAAAGGACCAAGAAAAAAAATGAACCTGACGCATATACATACAGACATATACACACAATCAATATCGTATCGTTAATGACGCACATTCTATAAATCATGGGCCTTAGTACGCAATAAAAACTGTCAACAATCATTTAATTACGACCTGCTGCAGAGCCACAACGACGTGTTTTTCCAAAGCGAAAGGGGGACGGAGATAGGGAGAGAGCTGGTAAGGGAGATGGAATACAAAAGAACATTATACTTTAGGCCTTTAAATTACATAGAAGAACAACAATACAAAGCCTTGCGTTGTCAACGTTAAATTATTCGTATGATTTGAGAGACAAAACAACGTGGCAAACACAAACCAAGAGAGAATATAATTCGAGGACAATGCTAAATTGTGTACACTTTTTCATAAAATATACCGAAACAAAGCCGAATCATATAAAACATGAACAGTACACGTATTTAAATCCAGAAGGCTTAAAATGATGGCGTCTCATACTCTGCCAAAAATACGTGTACCGAAAGCCAAACCAAACCAAACGAAAGTCATGCATTTGGATCTTCTTCGTCAGCCGTAAAACCTAAATGGTGAAATGTTTCTTTTTCTTCTTGTCTTTTTTTTATTCGCTATATATCGTATTATTAACCGTCAAAGTTTTACGTGTGTATTTCTTTCAATGGTAGTGCGTTCTTTTCATTCGGTTCTCGGTTGCCATTTGGTTGTTTTGCTCGTTTTCATTTGGCGAAAAAGTAAGTCACGAGGGATAAATTCTAAAATGTCTGCATTGAAAACGCGATGCAAACAACAATGGTGCGAGAGAATAAAAAAAAAGCTCGACACGAACTTAGGGACATCATTATTTAGTGTGCGGTTTTATATACACGCCTATAATATATTCATAATTCTGATGAAAGACGATAAAGCAGAGGCAGAGTTGATAGCAAAATGAATGAGTGAAAGAAAAACACATTGGCGTAGCGGTTTGAATGAAAAATATTTAAGTTAAATTGTTCTCCGCGGAAAACTTTGACATTGCACATACTTTCATACGCACGTACATACGTATGCGGCTCACATTATGAGCATGCTGCATGCAGCAAAGGCGGCATTTAATTACAATTGGAGTGTCACTGCGCAAATGATTTTATGGAGTTTCACATTCACCGAATCACTTCAATGGCATAAAATGGATTTATTCTGGAATTTTTTTTTTCCATCATTTTTGATCGTTGTTTTCATCGTGTTCCGTTTTCATTCGCAATAAATTCATTGCATCCTCTATTGTTTAATGGCTAACGTGCCGCGCTATTTTCATCATGAGCAATGGTTTCATTTGGCTTCTTCAATGAGTGGATGTATTATGTGTAAGTGTTGACATTGGAAGTGAATTCTCGAAACAAAAGAAGCTTAACATAAAATTAAATGTGTAAACTCCAGTGCAAATCGGGTCTTTTCTCCAGGGCAACGATGAACTCAACCGTTTTAAAGTTGAAGAAGATGATGAAAAAAATAAACATTTTTATGTGGCTAAATTGACAGGAGGAAAATAAAGCCTTTACCTATAATTTTTTGTTTTGTTTCTCTTCTAAGAACAAAAAATTTCTTTGTCGTTCGACCAAAAGAATTCAATGTCATTTTTAAATCTATTCTCTTAGACAAGAGTCTTGTCACAAGAATAGATATCCAAGGCCTTTCAAGTAAGTTCGTAATATACCAAAGAATGATGACGACTTTTTTTTGGGTAGCGACGCGTCGAAAAAAAGACCAGCAAAAAACGTAGCAACGAATTTTTTTCTTCTCGTCTTTATGGCAAAAATAATTTAAGTTTCCATTTTTAAAAGATTGTGAAATGCAACTCTTTGTGTCAACAGCATAAGGCTAACTAAGTTAAGCTCTGACCATTAACCATAAAAAATGTACACACTTCATTTGAACGTTAGATGGGCATTGGTGCCTTTTTTTCTTCCAATCGAAAATTCTTTGCACTT